CGAAAAAAAAAAAAAAAAAAATTTGTTTTAATGAAGTTAAAAAAAAAAAAAAAAAAGAACTAGAGTTCACAGCACTAGATTTTAAATAATAAATGTATACCATGAGCTTCAGAATAAGTATGTCCTGGTAGAATTGGGGGATGATATCATCCAAACTGCTTAATTTACAAAAGAGGAAACCGAAACCCAGAGAAGCTAAGAAACTTGCCAAAAATTACTCAGCAAGTTGTTGACAGAAGAGGAACCAGGACAGTAGCCTACAGGCTACATCACATTTGCTATTGAGTTGTTTTTTTTTTTTTTTTTTTTTTTTTTTTTTTTTTTTGAGACGGAGTTTCGCTCTTGTTACCCAGGCTGGAGTGCAATGGCGCGATCTCGGCTCACCGCAACCTCCACCTTCTGGGTTCAGGCAATTCTCCTGCCTCAACCTCCTGAGTAGCTGGGATCACAGGCACGCGCCACCATGCCCAGCTAATGTTTTTTGTATTTTTAGTAGAGACGGAGTTTCACTATGTTGACCAGGATGGTCTCGATCTCTTGACCTCGTGATCCACCCACCTCGGCCTCCCAAAGTGCTGGGGTTACAGGCTTGAGCCACCGCGCCCGGCCAACTATTGGGTTTTTTTCTATTGTTTTCATTGTATAGACATTTTTGCTTCTTCCTCACTTCCTGTGTTGCTTGCTGTTCTTCCCTTATACCAATTTGGAAAAAGTGAAACATACCTGTGTGACTACCAAGTAAGAGAGACAGCCTATTTCACTAATCATCCTTAAATGGATAAATGTAAATTCATACCTTTTTTCTCCAGGTGGCTTTAGTTTCTAATAATTAGCAAAACTGGAAATAAATTGTCCATCCACAGGGAGGCATGGAAATTACAAGGTTCTGTATCACCTAGAAAAATCCTGGAGCACAAATCAGGGACCAATTTAGAAGCCCATTCCTCCTCCAGGCCATTGGGGTAGTCAAAAAAAGAAAGATGACAAGTCATTTTTCTGGTTGCATCCTAGAGAATTTGACAGCCTTATATCTGTGTTTAAACAGTCCCGTTTCTTTCTTTTCTTTTTTTTTTTTTTTCTTGAGACGGAGTTTCGCTCGTGTTACCCAGGCTGGAGTGCAATGGTGCAGTCTCGGCTCACCGCAACCTCCGCCTCCTGGGTTCAGGCAATTCTCCTGCCTCAGCCTCCTTAATAGCTGGGATTACAGGCACGTGCCACGATGCCCAGCTCATTTTTTTTTTTTTTTTGTATTTTTAGTAGAGACGGGGTTTCACCATGTTGACCAGGATGGTCTCGATCTCTTGACCTCGTGATCCACCCGCCTCGGCCTCCCAAAGTGCTGGGATTACAGGCTTGAGCCACCGCGCCCGGCCTAACAGTCCCGTTTCTTAACACAGGTCTGAGAACAAAGTATGAGAATCCCTAGGTTTCTCTTCTCAGCATGGCATGAATAAAGATCATGTAATTTTTCCCTACCTCAAATTTTGAGTAAAAGGCAGAAATCAAAGTTGGTTAAACAGTAAATTTAGGTATATGATGATTAAATAATGTGCATGTTAAGATTAAAAAGGCTGAAATAATGACAGGAATTTGGTACCAGAGATTGAGATGAAGATGAGCTACTTTTACGAATTGTGCATTTTTTTCTCGGTATGATAGTTGACCATTGGTGTGGCAAGTAAATATTGAGATACTGATATTTGTACTTATGTACTATAATTCTCTAACGGCCAGGCCTGGTGGCTTATGCCTGTAATCCTATCACTTGGGGAGGCTGAGGCAGAAGGATTGCTTGAGTCTAGGAGGTCAAGGCTGCAGTGAGGTGTGGTCCCCACACCACTGAACTCTAGCCTGGGTGACAGGACAAGACCCTGCTTCAAAAAAAAATTACCTTGGCTGGTCGCAGTGGCTCAGGCCTGTAATCCTAGCACTTTGAGAGGCCGAGGTGGATGGATCACCTTGGCACATGCCTGTGATCCCAACTACTTGGGAGGCTGAGGCAGGAGAATTGCCTGAACCCGGGAGGTGGAGGTTTCGGTGAGCCGAAAACATACCATTACATTCCTGTGTGGGCAAGGAGAGCAAAACTTTGCCTCAAAAAAGAAAAAAATTATCTTAGTTGAAACCTATATATACCTGTTTCAGCTCCTTTTTTTTTTTTTTAATAGTATAGAATATTTGTTGAACCAAGCATCAGAACTATAGAGTACAATGTCCAAGGCTCTATTTCAATTTTCTGGGCTTTGCTTGGCTAGTCTTAACCTTAAGCCTGCTTTGGTATTTTATATACTTGAGGCAATTGAGGAACATCCAAGACATTTACTTAGGCAAAGGTAGAGATTAGCATGTTTACACATTTGTCATGTTTCTTCAGAAGTAATACCTGTCAGGATATGCTGTTAAACAAAAGGGCACATATTTAGTTTAGTTATCTTTCGTTTTTTCTTTATGGACATGCAAAGACTATAGAAAGACTATTTCCTTTCTGGCTGTAGTCATTTCATTCAGTTGAATTACATGAGTCAAGTAACATGTTACTTAGTAGGTTACTTCTTGTTTAAGCATATTGAAATCACAAAATATTTTGTGACAGCTTAAAAACTCAACAAAAGTTCCTCTAAAATAATTTATTAACATGTTTATTTGTATCTATTATTTACCCCTTCCCCCGCAACCAAAGGATCTGTTTTTGGTTAAAAATGTATGTGCATGATATATGAAATACTTGATAATATAACATGATTTACTGGATTCTAATTCTCACATTAACGATCTAAACATTATGAAAAGTAAATAATCCAGGGAACACGTTTTATTTTACATCGGAAAATATTTACAAAAATTTTGTTAAAGTAGCCTCTCCGCGTGCATTAGTTTCGCTTGATGCCTGTAAGTTTAGAGTCCTGCTCATCCTGATAGAGACCAATGCAATTCATTTGCATTGACTTTCTATTGTAGAGCTTTGGAACCAAGGGAAGGATCCAAACATAGCTCCATTTTATCCAATCAGAAGAGCCGCTTAGTGCTAAACTGTGATTCGTCCATTCCTCTTTGCATCTAGCCAATCATTAGGCCACTTTAACAGCCAATCAGCGGCCTAGATATGCACCAATCAAGGAACAGAGCCGAAGCACGGCCTTTGTGTCGGGGGATGTCAGCGCGTCGGCGAAAGCGCCCACCAATAGAAAAAGTCGTTGGTGTATGCAAATAAGGGTTTTATGACGCAGAGACGCAGCGTGAAGCGTGGGTATAAAAACGGAGGCGTCGAGGGGGCTTGGAGCGCAGAGCGGTTTGGTCGTTCGTTGTGGTCGTGTCGTTTCTTTGCTTGTCGACTGCGGCTCTTCCTTGGGTAGCGGAAGCGGCGCGGCGGTCGGAGAAGTGGCCTAAAACTTCGGCGTTGGGTAAGCGTTTGTGGGTTTACCCGCGATTTCAGGTTTTGCCAGCCGTTAGCGCCGCGGGCTGCGACCGTTGGGAGCCGAGCGGCGGGGCTGCTGGGGCCACTGGCGTCGGGTCCGGTATGGCGCCGGGAGGTTTCCCTTTGGGGTTTGGTTCCGGAATCGCGTTCCCGCCTTCTTCCCGGAGGTGATTCAGAGGCCCCGACGCTGGGTTCCGGGCAGTCGGGCCTCCGCCCGTCGAGGGAGGGAAGTGACTCCTCCCCGCGCCCCCCCTTTCCCGAGGGAGGCTGCCGCTTCTCGCAGCCTGAGTCATTAGGGGAGGGGGAGGAGGTGGAGGCCCTCGGCCATCTGCCGCCGCGAGCTGGGGCGCGGGGAGGCGGGAGTCCAGGCGGAGAGGCCGGGGCTTGTCGCTTCCTCTTGCAGCCCCGGGGGACGACCTAGGGGGCGACCCCGGGGAGAGCGCGGCCGCCTTATTTCCGGGTGTCTTTTTCAGGTAAAAGAAAATGGCCCGAACCAAGCAGACTGCTCGTAAATCCACTGGTGGGAAAGCCCCCCGCAAACAGCTGGCCACGAAAGCTGCCAGGAAAAGCGCTCCCTCTACCGGCGGGGTGAAGAAACCTCATCGCTACAGGTAGGCCTGGCGGGGAAACAATGGCCTGGCGGCGGCCAGCTTTGTGCGGCGGCGCCCGCTCACCGGTCCCCTGTTCGCTGCAGGCCCGGGACCGTAGCGCTTCGGGAGATTCGTCGTTACCAGAAGTCGACCGAACTGCTCATCCGGAAGCTGCCTTTCCAGAGGTTGGTGAGGGAGATCGCGCAGGATTTCAAAACCGACCTGAGGTTTCAGAGCGCTGCCATCGGTGCGCTGCAGGTAACAAGACAAAGACCTGGGGGCCGGGAAAGGGCTGGGCAGTTTCCGCTCTCCAAGGGGCATTAATAGTGTGGCTCTTGTCCTCAACAGGAGGCTAGTGAAGCGTACCTGGTGGGTCTGTTCGAAGATACTAATCTGTGTGCCATCCACGCTAAGAGAGTCACCATCATGCCCAAAGACATCCAGTTGGCTCGCCGGATACGGGGGGAGAGAGCTTAAGTGAAGGCAGTTTTTACGGCGTTTTGTAGTAAATTCTGTAAAATACTTTGGTTTAATTTGTGACTTTTTTTGTAAGAAATTGTTTATAATATGTTGCATTTGTACTTAAGTCATTCCATCTTTCACTCAGGATGAATGCGAAAAGTGACTGTTCACAGACCTCAGTGATATGAGCACTGTTGCTCAGGAGTGACAAGTTGCTAATATGCAGAAGGGATGGGTGATACTTCTTGCTTCTCATGATGCATGTTTCTGTATGTTAATGACTTGTTGGGTAGCTATTAAGGTACTAGAATTGATAAATGTGTACAGGGTCCTTTTGCAATAAAACTGGTTATGACTTGATCCAAGTGTTTAACAATTGGGGCTGTTAAGTCTGACCATACATCACTGTGATAGAATGTGGGCTTTTTCAAGGGTGAAGATACAAGTCTTAACCACAGTGTAACTTACAGTTTCCTTTAAAAAAAAAAAAAAAAAAAGTAAACCTGGCAGCTATAGAATACACTATGTGCATTTATAATAGCTATTTTATATATTGTAGTGTCAACATTTTTAAATTAAATGTTTTACATTCACAAGTGGTGGGGAGTCTTTGTCATTAAGGTGTGTGTAATTTAGAGTCCAGTTGGTTTTCTTCTGACTGCACTTGTTTTCATAGTAGTAAAATGCTATGCGCATTTATACCTTGCATAAGTCCTCATTCTACCACATGTGAACTAACCCTCTAGCTGATAATGCAAACACTAACGGGGGATTTTATTTATAAGGGCTCTAGAATAAAATACGAGTTATTCACACCAGCAGCATCTGTTAACTAATATTCTGAACTAGTTAGTGCAGCTTTTCATTGTGTTGTGGTTGGTCTCTTAACTAGGTTGAGTGTTTTTTTTCTCCTCTGCTAAGAGGAAACAATACCGAAGTTTATTTTTATTTTTTTTGTGACATTTGTATTATAAAAACCTGGTGTGGGGAGGGGCATAAAGCTCCAAACCGCTGAACCTCTGCCAGTTAAGATGGTGTTGGGTTAGGTTACATCTGGTTACTGTCCTGAGAAAATCACTTTTATAGAGATGGCCTTCCAAGTGGTTTAAAGATTTATCCTTCTATTGAAGTTTTTAGGTCAATTATGTATGTTGACTAAATTTACAAATAAACTTGTTTATCCAACTAAGTGTCAAAAACCTAAATTGAATGTACTAAGCTTTCACACATCCCATTATCTAGGTCCTTGTATAGTGATGTTTGAGCTTAGATAATTTCAGGTTTTGCTTGGTAGACAGGAACCTTTTATTTACAAAGATGCTGTAGAAAGCATGTGAAGAGCTGCTTCATTAAAATGCCATAATGCTGTATTTGCAGTGTGGGCCAAGAAAGTATATTAAGCTTTCCCTCACTCCCGTTACCATGGTATAGAAGTCCACAGGTGTAGAACTTCGTCTAAACTGCTTTTTCATATGAAGCTAGTTTTCTTGTGCAGTGATGGCCACTAGTAAAGCATGGTATGAATGTCAGCAAGACCGCATGAGAGCCCGTAGTCATCAAAGCATTCTGTGGTTGAAGCTAGTAACTGCTTAAAGTTCTGCCCATTAAAATTGTTTTCTAAAAAGTTTGGGCTAATTTCAAATACAAGATTTGAGAGGGAAGAGTAGGCATCTTTCAGGTCTTGATCATGAAGGTCTATAAAGAATACAACACAATGAACAGTTTTTCTAGAAAGTTGATAACTCTGGCACGATTCCTCAAAGTGTGCTCCCTGCTTCAGAAGGAGCTTACAAAGAGAAGTTGGAATGTGCTATCCTCGAGCATCTAGGAGTGTCTGGAAATAAGTATAGAAACCTAGCTGCGGTGATGAGTTAGCTTGTTTACCTGGGACAACCCAAGTGGGCGATGCTAGTAAACCCTGCAGGCTGGCATAGAAGGCTCTTGGATTATAATCTGTAATGACTTGCATATTTTTACACTTTGCTTGAGCGCTCAACCCAGAAGGCAAAAATAGCTTTTGGTTGTAGGAAACAGCCTGTACGGGAAGGGCAAGGGAGCAGAGAAAAGCAAAAGTTGGAGCTGTTTCAGGTATCCTGTGTCCTTGATGGATGAGACTAAAATAAAGCTTTTGAAGTTAAGATTTTTCTCATTTGGTTAATGGTTTTCATTCGAATGATAATTTTTTCAAAAGTTTGGGGAAATGTCCAAAAAGCATAGACTTCTGATTCAGCTGGGGCTGGGACGTCCATATTCAGTAATATCCTGGTTGAGGTGACCTCAGTAACGGTTTGCTCAGGTGTGGTGCATTTATTTTTTAGAGACAGGGTCTCACTGTGTTGCCCAGGTTGGTCTCAAATTCCAGCTCAAACGATATTCCCACCTCGATCTCCCAAAGTGCTAGGATTACAGGTGTGAGCCACTGCCTGGCCAGAAGTGTATTTAATAGTGCCTCTGTTTACTGTCATCTGTCCCAATTTGGCAAATTTTGAGGTGGTTTTACCTACCCATAGCATGATGACGTGTAATGGGGACCCAGTGAATCTTATTTGTATAGGGACATGTCTCAGGAAAATAAGGTCAAAGTGCTTACCCACTAACTTTGTAATTATACCACCTTCAGTTTGAAAATGGGACATAATTTGTCCCTTAAACTTCAATCATCTGGCCCACATAGCAGTCAGTTTTGGGATGAAGCAGGGCTGTTTTACCCAGAACTAGGGGTCCAAAGTGTAACTACGTAATAGGGAAAAGGAGGGGTGAAACGAAGAAGGGCAACGGGTGCTCCCTCATCAAGAGTGGACCTGGCTTCTGACCTGCAACTTCATGAACACGTGGTCTTCCAGCCACCTTCCTGAGGACACAGGCTAAGGGCTTCAGGACAAGTCGGGTGGCTTGGTTTTCAGAATTTCTGGGAGCCAGAGTCCCATCAGGACCTCGGGTACTTTCAGCACCCGGGGTACTTTCAGGTGCTACCTGACCCACTGGTCTAACACTTGTCTGGCCTAGGAACCATCAGCCAAGGGGAAGAGGCCCTGTGAGCTGACCGGCTGGACTGGAAATTAACAGTTTCCCACTCATCAACTTGCTGGTTGATTCCCCAACAGTGGTCTCTGCTGCTCAGCTCCCCCTACCTGGCTCCATGCAAGCACTGCCTGGTGTCAGGTGTCAGGGTGGGGTCTGGCAGCCCTGGGAAGGCAGTCCCTTTCTCCTGGATCACCTTCAGGTGGGTCAGTAGAGGGAAGAACACTGCGGAACTCGGTCAGCTGTCTGCAAGTCAATCAGCAGGAAACAAGGGCTTGCCCTGTGGTTTCTGCAAGATGGCCTTGGCCTGTGTTCAGATTCAGACTCAGGCCTATAGCCAGTCTAGCCCGCTATAGAGAAGGGCCAGGTGGGTAGTTTTCACCCCTTCTGCAGCTGTCTTAAGGGGGGTGCTGTGGTACACTGGGGATGAGAGCCTTGAGCCCCCTACCCTGGGCATCCTCTCCCCATACCTTGGGGCGGGAGCATTTTAGTCATTTCTCTCAGCCCCACCCCAGGCACTGATCAGTCCCACTGAGGCTGAGCTGGCTGCACCTTGCCCGGGCCCTCACAGCCTCTTCCTTCCCTCTCTGCTATGGTGCTCTTGCCTGCCCCTGTGGGCATTCTCAGGGAGATGCCCTGATTACAGGATGTCACCAGCCTGTACCACTCTATCAAGCTGGGCCTGGCTTCTGACCAGCAACTGCTGCATGAAAGCTGGCCTTCCAGCCTCCTCCTCCAAGGCAAAGTTAGAAGAAGGGGAGAAAGGTTAGGCCCCTGTCAAGTAGAGTGCCCTCTTCTTGGGCTGGGTAGCTGGCCTTTTGCCTCCCTGATCCCTTTGTCAGCAGGTCTGGGGAATGAGGGAGGCTGCAGGTCGAGGTGGGTGCAGCTGGGACAGCTCTGTGTTTATGCACAGAGGAGCTTGCACAAGGCCTCTATTGTGAGGGGCTGTGCTGTGAGAAGGGGCTGGAGGATGTTGTCCTCCCCTCGGGGACTCCTGCTCCCTATGGTCTTGCTGACGGCCCAGCAGCCCCTAGCTATCAGTGATCCCACCAGACACTATCTCCCTCCAAGCAAAGAGACACAGGACTTCTCTGGGATGCACCCCAGCATGTGCTGTTGTCTTCACCTGTGCACTATCCCCGGTGGCCAGCAGGGGCCAGTCTTGCAGATCACGCACACCTAAGAGCAGCGTTTTTTTTTTTTTTTTTGAGATGGAGTTTCACTCTTGTTGCCCAGGCTAGAGTGCAATGGTGCGATCTCGGCTCACTGCAGCCTCTGCCTCCTGGGTTCAAGCAATTCTCAATTCTCCTGCCTCAGCCTCCTGAGTAGCTGGGACTACAGGCATGTGCCACCACGCCCGGCTAATTTTTTGTATTTTTGTAGAGACAGGGTTTCTCCATGTTGGTCAGGCTGGTCTTGAACTCCCAACCTCAGGTGATCTGCCTGCCTTGGCCTCCCAAAGTGCTGGGATTGCAAGCATAAGCCACTGCGCCCGGCCGGAGCAGCGCTTCCTAGCCATCTTCTCTGAGCAGAGGTCTGTCCACCCGAGCCCAGCCTGCCTCCTACCTCATGACCCCTCCCCATGGAGAAAGCTAAGAGGTCCTACAGTCACCCCCTACTGGGAAAGCAAGAAGGGGTCCTTCAGTGAGGCTGTAGCTCCTGGAGGGGTGGTAAGGTCATGCATGATCTGGAAAAGGGTGCAGAGGGAGGGACACAGTGAGGCAGCCAGGGTCTGGGGCCTTCTCATTGGCAGCTGCTAGCTCTCATCCAGGAAGCTGCAGTTCTGGGGATACACACAGTGGGACGGAGGGTGGGCAGAAAGGGAGAGGTTCGTCTCAGACATCACTAGTACCAGGCACAAGAAGGCTCCAGGAAGGAGAGGGAGATGGGCTGCAGGCTTAGGGCAGGTGGCCTTTGCTGAGGGGTATGTGGGGGATTGTGCCTGTTCCCATGGAGGTGGAACCTGGGCTCCATTAAATCCCTACTGACGTGCCACCTCCTATGTTGGCCACACTTCCCCCCCATAAGCTTCTCTCTGCCTAGCACTGAGCCAGGGGGCCAAGCAGAGGGGTCAGGAGGGGCTTGGCTCCACAGCCCAGGCATCACGGGCCACACAGGGCTCTCCCTCCCGAGCTCCATACCTGCAGCTAGTCTCAATTCACTTGCCCACTGCCAGCGGCCTGAGGCCTGGGCAGCTCCAGCGCCAGCCAGCAGCTTTCCAGCCAGTGTGAGGTGCAAGAGGAGACAGCCTTGGCCCTGAGCCGTCAGCTGCATCTTCTAAGTCTAGACATGCTCCCTGGCCAGCAACAGGATGATTGTCAACCTGGAGGGCAGGAACTTCAGGGACAGAGTAGGGGCACCAAAGAAAGACAAGACCTGTGGCTGGATTCTCTGAGCAAGGGCATGTGAGGCTGGAGGGGAAGAAGCAGCTCCTGGCACTCCAAAAGCAGGGAATGAGCGTTGCCTGGCCCTGGAGTCATGCCTGGCACGTAACAGAAGTTCCAGGAGTAATTGCTGACCAAACCAAATGGCCCCAGCAGCTCCCAAGCACAGCTGACTGGATCTGCTCACAGCATGGGTGGCAAAGAGTCAGTCTGGTTCCCAAAAGTTTTGGTTCCTGGCCTGGCTTCCAAACTGGGAGTGTTTCATGTAGGAACTTGAGTCTGAGAGAACAGCTGCCCCTCCTGTCCCTCACCAAGAGGCGGAGCTTTTAGCTTTTGACACTTTCATAAGCACAGGCCAGTAGAGCAGAGGCTGCAGCAGTCCAGGAGACAGAGTAATGGCTGAGAAAATGGGCTCAGGGGCCAGGTGCAGTGGCTCACTCCTGTAATCCCAGCACTGTGGGAGGCTGAGGTGAGTGGATCACCTGAGGTCAGGAGTTCGAGACCAGCCTGGCCAACATGGTGAATACGGAAAAATAAATTAGCCAGTGTGGTGGAAGATGCCTGTTATCCCAGCTATTCGGGAGACTGAGGAAGGAGAATCGCTTGAACCCCGGAGGAAGAGGTTGCAGTGAGCCGAGATCCTGCCATTGCACTCCAGCCTGGGCAACAAGAGGGAAACTCTGTTTCAGAAAAAAATGAAAATGGGCCGGGCGCGGTGGCTCAAGCCTGTAATCCCAGCACTTTGGGAGGCCGAGGCGGGTGGATCACGAGGTCAAGCGATTGAGACCATCCTGGTCAACATGGTGAAACCTCGTCTCTACTAAAACTACAAAAAATTAGCTGGGCATGGTGGCGCGTGCCTGTAATCCCAGCTGTTCAGGAGGCTGAGGCAGGAGAATTGCCTGAACCCAGGAGGCGGAGGTTGCGGTGAGCCGAGATCGCGCCATTGCACTCCAGCCTGGGTAACAAGAGCGAAACTCCGTCTCAAAAAATAAATAAATAAATAAATAAATAAAAATGAAAATGGGCTCAGGGTCGGACAGACCCGGGTTCAAGACCCAGTTCTCACATCCAGATGAGCTCCTTATCTGTGCCTCTTTTCTTCATCCGAGAAATGGGAATAACACCAAGTATGCTAGTAAGGAGTTACTGAAACAATCTGTACAAAATTCTGAAACAGTAAGCTCTGAAGGTGACCTTAAAAAAACAGTATTTGGGCCAGGCGTAGTGGCTCACGCCTGTAATCCAAGCACTTTGGAGGCCAAGGCAGGCGAATCGCCTGAGGTCCGGAATTCAAGACCAGCCTGACCAACATGGTGAAACCCTGTCTTTAAAAAACGAACAAACAAACAGTATTTGGAGGCTGGGTGTGGTGGGTCACGCCTGTAATCCCAGCACTTTGGGAGGCTGAGGCAGGTGGATCACGAGGTCAGGAGTTCAAGACCAGCCTGGCCAAGATGGTGAAACTCCGTCTCTACTAAAAATAAAAAAATTAGCTGGTTGTGGTAGTGGGCACCTGTCATCCCAGCTACTTGGGAGGCTGAGACAGGAGAATCAC